ATGGCTAGACATATGCTCTATTACTTACCCACTTCCCAATCACTTCTTTTTTTTTCCCCCTATAACTTGACTGATTTCCTATATTACTAAAATTTGGAAACCATATGTTGTAGCAATTTTGCATATGTCCACAATAAATATAAAATATTTGGAATTATAAATTACAATGGATATACTTCACTTTTTTGTGTGTACACATATCTAGATCCAGCTAAACTTTTTTCTGATGTGAATAAATTTAAAGGAACTTATTAAAAAATTGAGATAGTATATGACCATTACTTGCCTTGTAATAACATCAAGATGTCTTTATTCTTTCTTTAATTCTTTGTTTTGCTTTCCATTAGAGCACTGAAAATTCACTCTTCAAAGTTATCTATTCTATGTTGATAATGTACCAAAATTGACATCTTCTAGTTGACATGTTGTGAACAGGATATCAAATCACACCTTGATAATCCTCTTCTCCCCAGAAACACTGAAAATAGCTACAAACACTTCCTCAGGAATCAGTATTATTCATAGCATGTGCTTTGTAAACTTTACTAATGCTGCATATTCACTTTTGCCATTATTGTCATTCCAGAGACTTGAAAACTTTATAAAGGCTTATACATTGTTAAAATTTGTTTTTAATTTTTATCATATCTACATATTACTATAGTACAAGTGCTAATAAACAAATTTAACTATACATTTTTGTTTAAATTATACTAATAAAATATACCTGCCTTATATCTTTAGATATCTTAAAATATTTCATAATTTCTGTTCACAGTATCATGTTCCAAATCCTTTCATTTACCAAACATATTTATATTCCCTTATTAGTGAGGATCATTTCAGTAGATAAATTATCATGTTTTTAGACATGATACCTAATTAGACACCAATATTTGTCCAAAGTTGAACAAAATACTTGAGAAGATACAGGAAAATTATAAGATTTGGCCCTGATTTTAAAATACTTGAAATCTAAAGGTGAAGACTTAAGTTGTGAAATAAAGAGAGAGAAATAAAGAGAGAGCAGGATGAAACCAGATGATAAATTGTATGAGACCAAAGTATTAAGAATATAGAGTCCAGTAATCTTAAATTCTGACTAAATTAAAGAGAATTTGGTTAGGGCTTTGAGATGATGGGGAAGAGAGTGTGGCATTTAATTATGAACTTGAAGGACTGGCAGATGAGCAAAGCCTTGGACAAAGGATATGTGTAAGTTCTCTAAAATTTAAAATATTTAATGCACATCACATTAAAATGCTAAAATTATTTGCTTTATTAGCTAGAATGAACCATTATGTGCCAGCTAGCACAATCCACTGTGATTTATCATTAATGTTTAAAAAGTTCATTGTTCTCAAACTTTTCCTAAAGAAAAGTGAAAATCTTAGAAAATTAGCACATTTCTGGACTTTCAGTGAGATTGAAAACTGACAGCAAAATAAAATTATTTTGTCCATATCTCTAAGGGAAAAGAGAGATGTGCTCTCTAAAAAAGTATTTAATATGTTATTTCTGACTCTAGTCATGATTTTTTATTATAGATTATTTTGAAATGACCTAACTAATAGTGAACAACTCTGCTCATAGCTCTACATGTGAAACAGGTAATTAAAGATTAAAAATTGACACAATACAATGTAGATTTTGTGCACATTTTCTGGCTTTAAAAATAATCATACTTATGTTGCCTCTTTTCCTGGTGTTGAGGGGTCATTTAAGGATGAGTTGGTTGTAGGGCTAGAGCTCAGAAATACTTTATGTTCCTGAGTTCACTGGACCTTCAAGAGGAGACGCTTATTGAAGTCTAGTACATATAGGCATGTGTCACCTTTTGTCTGTAATAATGTGGACAGCCTGAAACAGCAGCAATGATGGTAGGAGAGCCCTTACAACCCTGGCTCTGAACTATGTGCATATAAGTAAAACATTTCAGCAGAGCCATTTTTCTCATTTATTTGAGAATTAAAAATAACAAAAACTTAATCTGGATATATCAAGTAAAATCCTTTCCTTGAGGTCTGGGCATAGTGGCTTTTGTCTGTAATCTTTGCTATTTGGGAGGTAGATATTGGGAGGATCGCAGTTTGAGGCCTGTCCTGGCAAAAACTTCAAAAGATCTCATATCAACAAAAAACAGGGTTTAGTGGTACACACATAGAATCCCAGCTATGTTGGAGACATTAACTAGGAGAATAGAGGAACAGACCAGCCCAGGCAAAAAATGTGAGATTCTATCTGAAAATAGCTAAAGCAAAAAGGACTGGGAGCATGGCTCAAGTTGTAGAGTACCTGACTAGGAAACTCAAGGCCCTGACTTTAAACACCAGTATCACACCTTCCCCTCCAAAAATAATCAGTCATTTTCTTGGATTGATTTTCTAGGTATTTGTATGTTATTTTATTTTTATTGCTTGGAATAACAGATGTTATTCCAAGATGTTAGAGCACCAGAAACTAGTGAATATAATTAGAAAAATCATACCAAAATACAGTTGCCTACATTTAAGAAGAAATGGAATTTAAGTTGTATTTTATACTGAATAGTTAAGGAAACAAAGATTTAATATTTCTTTTCTTGTGAATATTTAATAAATATATTTGAATGATGTTTTGACAGAAGTTGTTATTGATGGTTTAGAATTAATCCTTTCATTGCCATCTGAGACAAAAATACAGAGAGCTGGACTTGTGTTTATCTCTGCATTTTTATTTCACAGATTTTTTTATTCAAGATCAAAGTGTGGATAAGTTCTTTATCTATTTGGCATTTTGAAACTTTCAAGTGATGTAGAACTCTTTCTTTTCTAACAATGTAAATCTGTGTCAAAACTGACAGTTGTGATAGTGAAAGTATATAAGATAACTTTATGGGTTTATGTTTTGCTGATAATATAATCTGTTGTCTAAAAGTAAAGCATGTTTAATTTTTGTCTTGTTTCACATCAACTCAAAAATAATATTGTACAGATGACCTTTTCTTTAACTTTTTGTGAGTTTAACCCTCAGAGAAGCTTCAAAAAGTAAATACTCGAATTTACTTGTGATTCACTCATCTTTTACATAGATAAAACTTTCTTATTTAAACATATATGCTTGTGCAATGGACTCATGTTTCATTGCATGAAAAAAATGCAAGTGCTCTTGGCCATTTGATTCCAAGTTTAAGAGAAGTAAATCAGGTGTGACAAATATTACAAAATAATTTCAACCGGATAAATTTCTTAGCATGTTTCCAAACTTTTTTTGTTAAACACTTCTCAAATTGCTTAATTTTGAGCAAGTATATGAGCCTAATATAAACATGCACTCAATGAAATTTATCATCTTCTTTTAGTAAAAACAGGAAGAGATGAGATGAAATAAATTAAAGGATTAAACAAGCATGGTAATCTGTTTGGATTTAAAAAGGGTAATATGCATGCACAGACACATATATAATTTCTGTAAAATACTTCTATAATATCAAAGCATGTAAATCTGTTGATTTTCTTTATGTTTTAAGCAAGTATAAAAATGTTTCTCAACACAGGAATCATCTTGTTTAAAAGCTAAAAAGTTTTTAAACCCTAAAAAGGGTTTCTGTAATGGTACATAATCTTCTACCTATATGTTCTATCTGAAGATTTAAAGTACATTAACAAACATAATCTATCCTGAGAAGTTTACTTTCCAGGGCTATATTTCCAAATGATACTGAATAAAATTAAATGAAATCATTTGTAAATTGCCACTCTGATTGCAAGCATTTTATTTCTATTTATGTGATTTCTAGTTTTATTTGTAAATTGAATAGTAGGTATTTGTCTCAGAATTTTCAACCACTGGTATTCCTCAATACATATGTAAAAACATTTATAGAAATGCTTTTTAGAGTGATACACTTTAGAAATGTTGTTATTAGATAAAGGGCACAATAGATTTTAGTGACCTAGAAAGGAAAGAACGAAAACCAAAACCTCCAAACAAAAACAAATACTCTCAGTTTTACTCTTTTACTGCTTACTCAGTACTATTAGAATCTTTTTTCAGAAATATGTATAAGTTCTGAGCCAAATTCTTTCCCTTATTAGATGTCCAGTTAAAAAACCATTTATTTTGAGAAACAAGATGACAGAATTGTGGGACTTTGGCACTTTTGGTAGGTTGAATAACTTCTCTACACCTCAGTTTACTAATCTGTAAAATGAATATTATAGTAGATCCTTTTTGGTGAAGATTGGTGAGATCATGTTTATGCTATGCTTGAGTTACATTTCACAAGATGTGATAGCTATATAATAATATTTTATTACCATATAAATTTAATATTAAGGATAATTACTACTAATAATTGCATTTTATTATTCAGGCTTTTATAACTAAACTCATATTATAAAGTGTCTCCTAGTAGAAGAATTGTTATTTTTAAAAGTTTCACCTTTATGTAGAAGCACTAAAGCTTGACACTTAATATTATTTTGGTAATTTACAGTAATGAATTAGAGTCCTACATAAAAGGATACTTCTTATGTGGTATTCCCAGGCTTATCAGTTTCTTAAAACTCAACTTTTAAATATTACCGTATTTTTTATATTTCTTCAGTAATAGGTTATATGTCAGTTATTCCAATTAACCATTTGTATTAGTAGAACCTAGAGTTAAAAATCTTCACATATATCTCATTTACTTACTTTAAGGAGAGTGACTTAAAATTAGGCTTTAGCAAAAGATGATGTGGTATGCCTAATGGGATATATATTTCTTCTTTTCTGTGAGAAAGTGAAAGAGTGACTTACCCCTTATATAGACTATTTTTAGGCTATTTGCCAGTTTATGATAAACTTTAGTAGGAAAATAGGAAGTAGCCTAGTTTTTCATTCACTGTATTTGTATCTAGTAAATGCACTGTATTTGAATCTTATACTTTTTTTCTCCTCAGAAGAAAATGTGTATGTTTAAAATGGACTGTTCAATCTTGATATCCCCAAACTAATTTTTTTTCCTTTCATTTTAGTTCAGACTTGGTTCCTTCAACCTAGAGAAAGTTGCAAGTCCAGCTGAGGTCATTCGAGAACTTATTTGTTACTGCCTGGACACCGTCACAGAACACCAAGCCAAAAATGAGCACCTGCAGAAAGAAAATGAAAGGCTTCTGAGAGATTGGAAGGATGCTCAAGGGCGGTATGTACAGAGTGTGCTTGCACCATAACCCCAGGGTCCCTTTGTCCTGTTTAGGTATAAGTAATGACTCATAAATTTACCATGTGTGAAGAAGAGCCTATATTTAAAATCAAACCTGTCATTAATTATGCCTTAATAATACTAAGTTACGATATATTATTAGTCACTACTATATATTACAGCAGTGTATTATCAGTTTTAGGTTATTTAGTGTTTGGTAACATCAACAAACTTATAAAAAATAATTAGCAATTGGACACTGAGGATCAGAAGCCAGTATTATACCAGTAATGAAAATTTAGTAATAAGGCTGGAGGGTAATTTGATGGTACAGTATGTGCTATGCATAAGCCCCTATACTCAATCCTTTGTACTCCCCCCAAACTAGTGGATATTCATAAGGAAATGATTAATTCATCTTTATTTATAGAATAATGAATAAAAACACATGAAATGTAAATAAGCACAATTTCTTATTTGGAATCAATAAATTGTAACTATTGCAAATGATGTGTGTTTTGGCTCTTACTAGAGACTTATTTCTTGTGATTGAAAATTCATACTGCAAGCATTTTTGAAAGATGAAGTAATTGTGGCTACTGGATAAGACATTTAGAAACCTTTTATTTTCCTGGTTTTTTCTCTTATTTTTTAACTAATGAAGAAAAATGTTACACATTTTCTCAATTATGATTTAGCTTTCATAGCTAAATTGTAACCTAACCTGGCCTAGTATGTAACTTTATTATTCTTTTGTACAGAAGATTCTTGAAGGAAATACAATGTGTGTTATGATCTCTTATATACCCATAGAAACCTAAATGATATGCATGTTTGTGTGTGTTTGTATATAACAGTGCCTGTGTCAATAACTATTACATTCAGAAGAATTTTTATCTCTTTTTCAAGCTAATTGTTCTTACACATAAGAACATTTATCTTACTTAAAATCTTTTTAGGGCAGCAATTGTGATTATTCTACATAGACATTAATAATTATGTGAAGAAGTGCATGAAATGTAAAGGCTTTACAGCTACCTATATGTGTATGTAAAAGTGAGAATAACTAAAAGAAATTATTTTTCTGTTCATTTAATAGTATTTATTAATTAATAGAAACCATAGAAAATTAAGTTAACACCTGGCTATATTTGGATTTCACTTATTATATTAAGGAAACATTTATTTTGTTCTCTTTTGGTTCTAAACTAATTTTTATCTCCATTTATACATAACGTAAATAATAATAAAATAGAGTCTGATTCAAAGTTATGTATTAGGAAGCCATATAGAAAAATAACTTTTGCTCTTTAATTTGTTTCATTCATTTATTATGAATCAGTATCAAATGTCTTTGTTAGAAAGAATATTTGGACCTACATTGTGGCTTGATTGTGTTTTTTTACATATGAGATGAATCAAATTAAAGGTGATACACTGTGTTCGTGATAAGCCATTATGTTTTTATATTTGAAACTCAAAAGACCCTCATGATGACAGGAAATTTGATCTACAAATTGCCCAGAAAAATGCAGGGTCGGCACTTGGTACTTGAACAAATTGCTTTAAAATGCCTGCCAGAGGTTGAAAGAGGTATTAGCTCATTAGTATTCAACACCATTCCCATAGAATTGAAAGCAGCAGGAAGGAAGATGAGGCAGTAGAGACTACCACACCCTGTGCTGTGAAACTGCATGCAAGGGATACATATATTATGTGGAGCACAGATGCTCGATTTGTGCTTTCTAAACTATCTAGAAAGTGCTTTTGTTTTACTGTGGCAAGAGATTTCCTGTTTGTTCAAAAGCACAGCTACATATCCTGACACCTGTCTTATTCTTTCTGGGCGATATTTTTGTTGTTACTGTTAATACTGGGTTAGGTGTCTTCTTTTCCTGAGCTAACAATGTGTGCCATTGGGGTGAACCTACAAGCCAAGAGGAAAGAGTCCTTTCCAGAGAATTTCAGGCTCTTGTTTGTCATCCAGATGTTAGATTAGTAGCTTTGTGTGTTTCTCATGTTTGGTTTTCTTCCCTTTGAGAGGAGAAAGTAGCTGCTTTAAGGAGCTGTAAATATACCTTAGTATTCTCTCTGTACAATTTTAGTATCCTGGAAGTGAGCAAAGGATTTATAGCACCAGTTTCCATAAGGCAGAGGTGCTAAGATTTGTATTTAGAGAGATTAGAAATAGGAAATGAGGGCACTGAGTTAGGTAACTGGTTACATGCTAAGTAGAGAATTGTAAGAATTGGTGTCCTGATGTTAGGCACAGCTACAGAGGAGTTTTCAGGGAAGTCTCTGATTGTGACAGTTTCCATCTTTGATCCAATCATTTCTTCCATTCCACTGTTACAGACTGCATGTGGAAGAGAGAGGTGTTAGAAGTGAAGAGGGGCACAAAGTAAGGGATGGGAATTCCTCTAGAAACTATGATAGATGGACCTGAAATGTATTTGATGCATAACAGAATCTAATATGAACAAAAAACAAACCATTAGATGCATTTATTGACATGGAAAGTATTTATGATATGTTAAAGGGAGAGATGTGCATTATCAAAAATATGAATGCTATCCCGTTGTAGGCTAAATATAGAGAATATCTAGGAGACAATTAAATGTTAATGGTGGATTCTGGAACTGTAGGTTAAATTTTCTCTTTTGGATAGTATTTTTCACATACATTTTCTCTTTAAATATGTATTACTATTATGATTAGATCCAAATGTAAACCTTTTTGTATTGGGAATGTCAGTGAGGAGTAAAGGAGGCTTGAGTAAGGAAGGAAGAATTACAGTATGAGTACAAAGACTGAGCTTCAATGCACAGACTCTAAAGTATTTATTTGCTGTTATTTTTAAGTTATTGATTAATAATTATCTTTGCTCCATTTTGAATAATAAGTGGCATTATAGGGTTAATTTTGTATAGTTTAAGCAAGGATGAAATATTAGAAAACTTGAATATGGATCTTCAGGTTATTATCTGTATTTATTTCACTGGATTTTCCTACTTAATTTCAAATAACAAGTCTCAAATTCCATGTTACTAAATAGGTCTTTTGTTTATATTTAGACCTCAATGTAGAAATTGTCTGGCTTTTTAAAATGTTATAGTTATTAAGCCCATAATAGGAGGCAGTTTTCAGCGAATTGAATTGACACTCATGGATTCATTAGAATAGAAGACCTTGAAAGCTCTTTTACTTTGTCTCTCTCCCTTTAAAGTAGAATCATATTATCTCCATATGAATTTGGTCAGATTTTTAAAGACCTCAAGAGTTATCTTCATGTCTCCTTGGTAGCCCATTACAGTCACAATCAGAAAATTTCTGCTTGCCTCTATTGGTAACCTGAATCCTTCATAGTGTAGTTGAGTGCCATTGCTTCTTGTTCTACCATCAGAAAGCATGGAGAACAGCTGTTCACCATCTTCTCCAGGGCTTAAGGCCTTATTAAATCTTTACCAATGCTTTCTCTTCCAGGTCTTTTTGGCATTCTTTGTCCTCTTAACTCTATTCAGATTTTGTTTTGCTTTCCAACCTTGACCTTGGTATCAATTTGGCCAGAACTGGTTGTTAATATAATGATTGCTATACTACTGTTTCTGTACCATATGTTCACGTTTATGTATCTATTTTATTTTGGTTGTCATTTAATCTATTGTTTTATTTTGGATATTATTTCTGTATGTAATTTTTTTGTTTTGCTATTGTTTTTGTTAGTGTTTTGACATATTATTCAAGAATGTTTTACTACCCTAAAATATGTTATTTTGAATATTTAATATTTTTCTGTATTTAGCTTTTTATCTTTTTGTTATTTTTTTAACTATCATCCTTTAATCCAGGGTCTTAGGTATCTTAGTACTAAGGTTGCTGATTAAACTAACATTATTGATCATTTTCATAGTTATGTTGAAAGGATGAAGTGTCATTCAGCCTTTCATGTTTGATGTTATTTATGGTTTCATTAGTATTGAGCTTTGTGTTAGAAATGATCTATGGACTAGTTGTAGTCTGCTCTAGTGGTTTATGGGGTTACTTTTAGTGTCACTAGACTTACACGTGAATCTCATGTCTCTCTTCCATTAAATAATCTCAGCTAATAATTCTTGCCCAATTCTTGAGACACAGGCTTGGCAAGAAGCAAGCAAAATGGAAGGCATAGTAATATAGTGCTATATAGAGGATTGATATTAAAAATGTGTTGGTCATATGTTATGGATTTCTTTCTTAGTTACTAAATATTGAGTACATGGGTAGCACTCTCCAAGACTGTTGAGAGAATAATGAGTAAATTCATATCTTTAAATTGTGTATAATAATACGCTATCGCAGCCAACTGCCAATCTCAACTTTTCTAGGAAATGTTATCTAGTTTGATGGTGAGATGTTTGGTTGCAAAAAAATTGCTAAAACTGAGAATATTAATCACATAGTACATTCATTCTATTGACTTTTTCCTTATCACAGAAATAATATTACCTTTGACAATATAGTTTTGGTACCAGTTATTTAAATTAGCAATATTGTAGGCAAATTACATGGAATTTCATTTTGGTATCTGTTTAACTTTAATGTGTTACACCGATTTTAATTTTAATAAAGTTTTGAGAATTAACTTGATAGTTGATAAGTTTATATAATGTTTGAATCAAGAATTTTAAGTGATTTATATGGAAATTAAATATGGACTTAAATAACATAAATTTCTAACTTCTTACAATTTCCAAAATCTTATATAAGACATTAGAATATTTTACAAGATTTTTGTTACATATTTTTATGTAGTTTTTACTTTGTGTATGTTTGAAGGGCTTTGTTATTATATGCTAAAGTATTTTAGTTGTATGTATGCCAATTCGTTATTTTAAGATTATGTTATTGTGTTACATTAGAAAATATTACATGAAGAGGAGAGTGTGCTCATATAACAGCTTGTATATGAAATACAAATGCAGTGACAGTCCCCTGCTTAAAATAAGCTGGTAATATTAGCAGTGCCTCCTTAATTTTGATCCTGTTTGTCTGGCATTTTTTGGTATACGTGTTTCTCAAAGAGCTTTGCTTGATGAAAGGAATACTGTTAAATTATTTGTCACAAAAGCCAAGGAAGGTGAAAAGTATTATAGTTACAATGATGAATAGCTATTAAATGGTCAATAATGGGTCACACATAGGAGAGTAGTGTCATAAAATTAAAGTGGAGCTGATAAATTCCTATTGCCTAATGATATTAAGGCTGTGCTAACATCCTAGTGCAAAGCGTAACTCATGTATTGTGATTATGCTGGTGTAAGCAATCCTACTGCATGGCCATTTTTTACAATATCAGAAATACAATTATGTGTAGCATCTAATGCTTGATAATGACAACTGTAACTGGTTTGTGTATTATGTTATTATACTTTTTATCATTATCTTGAAGTGTACATTTTTGACTCCTTAATAAAGGAAAATTACTGTAAAATGGAATGCTATGTTACACCAAGAGCAGCCTCAGACATCTCGTATTTACCGTATCTCTTGATTGCATAAAGAGGCCACATTGAGTAGGCTGTACCACCCAGATTTGTGTAAGTAGACTGTGTGGTGTTTGCACGATTACAAAAGTGTCTGATAGTGCATTTCTCTGAATGTGTCCCCTTTCATTAAGAAACGCATGAGTACATTCAAAGTGCATTTTCCTTATAAGAATTCGTGTCAGGGCTGGAGGTGTAGCTCAGCAGTAGAGCATTCGCCTAGCATGTATGAGGCCCTAGGTTTAATCCTCTGCATATAAAAACAAATAAACTAAAAGATAACCATATTGGCCTTTCCATTCAGTCATTCATCCTTTCTTCTTCAGAGGAAGGCCATAGCTATGGTGTTCAACTAGAAAGGCGTGATCCTGAAGCCCCACTTCCAGAAACACTGACAGTGGCCTGAGGCCACATGGCTCGACTGCTGGCCCAAAAGACCCACAGGTGCAAGGCCCAGCAATCAAAAGCACACAGGATGGCCCCATGTCCTGCACGTGGATCCCTATGTATCACCCATAATAAGAGGTCCTTGCAGTTAAGTATCAGAACAAAGCACTAACTGGCAGGTGTTTAATTTGGAAGAGTATAAGTGTAGCAGTACCCATAGGAAGGTGGCTCAGACCATTGGTACCTCCATATATTGAAAAAGGCACAACAATAAATAATCAATGGATTCTCTGCAGTTTAATGTGCAGTGGCTAAAAGAGTGCATATCCAAGATCATCCTCTTCTCCAGTAAGCTCTCATCCCCAAGCAGAGACACAGTTCTGCTAAACAACTCAAATTATGCATCTAGCTGGCAGGATTAGTGATGCCCATGTGGAATGTCCACAGAACAAGAAAACTAGAGTCATCACCAAGGAGGACTTCAAGACGTTTTCCATTCTCCCTACATCCGGAGTCGATGCCCGATTGGCATGCTGACAAAGGGATCAAGGGAAAAAATATGTGCATATTAACTATTCATTTATTTAATAAATACCTAACTCAACATCTGTCAAATTCCAAACACTTTGCTGAGCACTGAGGTTAAAGCATCCAGTAAAACACACATGCTCTCTGCTCTCCTGGAGTTTACAGCTTTAGTAAAATCTATGCTATAAGAAATTGCTATAATTGGTTCCAGAAATATATTGACACATGTTCATTTTCATCCTATGATAAATTTTCTGCATCTCTAAATTAGTATAACTTTTAGAAATGATGAAGGTTGTTTGTGGTGAAAAGTATAGCATGTTGACACTTTTGTTTCCATTTCTCTGTAATACATGTGTGTAAATATATATTTAGTATGAAAATACTAGGACACATTAACAGAGGATAGTAAGCAGGATGGTAAAGAGAAAAAACAGACAGAAGTTGACTACATTCAAAAGAATATTTTAAGTGAAATAATTTGTACATAAATCTGTAAAATAGGAGTTTACTCATGTTCTGTGTATATGTATACATCAAGTATATATAACTTCTGCTAGTTTGCTTTCTGTGCATATCTCTTGTTATATAAAAAATGCAATCTGTTGTTACTTCACTTGAGTATTGTATGAAGAATTATAAATAATATAGAATTTCATAAGTTTTTGTTACATATCTAAAGCTGGAGATATATAATGTTTTATAATTTCTGCTTCATTATTATCTCTTTGGAAATATCGTGTAGGATACTTTAATTCATTATATGTGTGTATGAATTTAAATCCACATTTGTGTGTGTGTGTTACTGGTTTATAAAGATATAACTTGATAAGTGACGTTGTTGTGGAGTAGTTTGTGTTCTAATAGGGCAATAAAACAAATGGTTTATTGCTTTATGAAAAAACAAGAAGATAGTTGCTATGATAGTAATATTAAAAAAATACTGAGGAAACAGGCAATATTTGCTTATTAGAAATTCCTTCCAATGAAACATACTGTTTTAAAACATGAATAAATTATTATATATAAGCATTTAGATTTTTAAAAGATTTATTTCAGGTTTCTGATCCTAATATCATTCACAAGTTACTAATATTAATAATCATTACTTTCTAATTTACTTAACTATCTCCTTAAAACTTTTAGGGCAATGAAAACAAATGTAAAGTGATTTTTAATCATATTTTCCTCCATAAGTCTTCCTGAAATGTTTTTGAGTATTAGATTGACTATATTAATGTTAATGTTGTTTTGCTTAATGTTTTAGATTTGAAAAATGTGTGAGTGCCAAGGAAACTTTAGAGACTGATCTTTATGAGCGGTTTATTCTGGTGTTGAATGAGAAGAAAACAAAGATCAGAAACTTACATAAATTGTTAAATGAGGTTCAAGAATTGGAAAAGAATACTGAACATGACAGGTATAGTCTTTTTAGTTTGGGAAGACAGGTACATAAATTTAAATAGAATTTCTTGATAAACTTAATGAAAGCTTGATGCCAGTTTTTAATAATATGAAATCATTTGATAGTTCCAGTTTAGATAATTCTGGCTGTTAAGCAAGGAATGTTATATGCTAGAGAATTCCCACCGTGATCTCTCCGTGTTTGCCCACTGTCACACTGAACTAAAAAATTGGCATGAGACTTATTTAAATGCTGTTTAACTCTTACACATCACTAAGAAAGGAAAAATTAATTAAAAAACTTGTCTCCTCCAAGATTGCAAAGATTTTTCAGCTTTGTAACCTTGCTGTCTAAGCATTGATTAACTTTAGAATCAAGTGGTTAATGTTAAATTCATGGTAACATTTATGTTATTGAATTAGAGTGTGGTTCTCTCTCATCAATCTGTTGAGTTTTCTCTGAAAGTAATATATATGGTTGATTCCTAAGATAAAACCATGGGTCACAAGCGGTTGATTTGTCTTTATACAATTATAATCTGAGAGAAAATGTACTTTATCAATGAAATAGTATAAAAAAGATAACATTTGATGCCAACTGGTCCTCTTTCAGGTACTCTGGCACTTTTGTCTATTACTATGTGTCATTGAGCCAATCCTTTAACTCTCTGAACCTCAGCTTTTGGGGCAATGAAATGAAATGCAGAAAGCTTTGGGATTATTAAAACATTAAATCCTTGTGACCTAGAGAGATAATTTGGTAAAGTAGTATTTTATAAAAGAATAAAAACCAATTCAGGAAGCAGTTATGGTGAGCATTAAATAGCATTCAGATTGTTAGGTAAAGAGAAACCTTTTCTTAAAGAGCATTAATATACACTTAAAAAGTGGTTTTGTCTAAATCATATTAGGGTCATTTTCCAGGAATATTTTCTGTAATTACATATTGGTAAATTTGATATTAGCCAGATGTTGAAGTAATGATTTCTAATTCTACCCTTTTCTGTTTCTAGGGAAACTACAACCTATTCTGAAATAACTGCTGACCAAGATGCAATCTATGATGAAAGTACTGATAAGGAAACTAGAAACATGTCTGGGCCATCAGTACTGACTCCAGGTAAGATGTATACATTTATTTCTTTTGTTGAATAACTTATTTGAGCTTATTACTCTGATTAGAACTCATAATGAAAAAACATCAGAATGTTCTTCTATAAATTTGTCTATGATTTTTAGTTTATAACCTTAAATAATTAATGTTGAAAATATTTACTGTAAAATGTAGCAATTCATTAGCAACCACATGACAAGCAGGCCTGCATACACACATACACCAACATGTACCTTTTCCTTATTAAACAAGCATGCATAAGCAACAAGGAAGATACACCTTCTTGCTAAGTATCACCAGCTCAAAATTGGTTGCCTTTAGCCTTTATCTATCTAAGACTGTGGATGGGGTACTATAACAAGGTGATCCAGAATGCTCTAGATTAACTCTAAGGTTGAGGTTTCCTCTCCCTTTTCAGGAAAAGGTTTGCCATGTGGTAAAATGGTATAATTGAGAAGAGAAGGGAAAATGCAATTTCAGTTTGAAGGAGTTGATTCTTATTCAGTCCTCCAGATCAAGTACCTGGCAGATTTTTGACCCTGTGCATTGCTTTTCTAGAGTTACATAGATTTCCTATGGGTGGTAGAAACAGAAGCCTCTGAACTTATTTACTATTTAGAAAGTTTAGACTTAAAGCTAGTAGCATAAAATGTAAATGTTTGATTCATTCATTTAAAACAGATTTTGGGGTGTCTATTTTATGCTAGAAATTTTTCTAGACAGTAGAAAGCAAAGCACAAACAGTCCATGCCACTGTGGAGTTTAAATTCTAGTCAGGGAAATAAATTATAATAAGGGGAATAAACTAGCTATAAAGCATAAACAGGAAAGGATGATAAAATTTCTAGGATAGGAATAAGTATAAGGATTGTGATTTTAGCTCTGGTTCCAGAAAAGGCTTGAGTGAGAGCATATCAGACAAGAAAAAGTGCAGAGACAATGATGTGTTCAAGCTGTAACTGACAAGTTAGTAGGGATAAAGTGGAAACATAAAGGTTGGGAGGATGAGGTCAGAGAGATAATGGGCCATGTTATGTGTATGGCCTTGTATATAATTGTAAGGACTTAACCTTTTCCTTTGAATTAGATTGGAAGGTGTTGAAACATTTTAAGTTGTCAAATGACATCTCTGACTTAAATTTTAGCATGATTAGTCTGGTTGTTGTGTTGAGAATAGATTGAAGGATGACAAGAACAGAAGAAAATATAATAGACAGGAAAGTAGCTCAACAATTGGGCGAAGGATGAAAGTGGCTTAGACTAGAGTGGTAGAGAACATAATGAGCAATGAGCAGATTTTGGATAGTTAGAAGCACCAGAATTTACTGAACTGAGTATATCAAAAGAAGAGCAAGTAATGAAGACAGAAGGAGTAGTTAGGAGGGAAGAGGAAATACTCTAAATGTGGTATCCCTGGGAGCCAGGTAAGTAAAGTATTTGAAGTAGAGTGAATATCTGCTGAAAGTTGCTATTGGGGTAAGGAAGAAGAGAATTGAAGGTTGATTGACAGATTTAACAATACAAACATTGTGGACCTTAATATAGGATTTTCAGTGGGATGTTGGAAGATAGGGAAGAATAGGTGGGTCAAAAAGAATAACAGGAAAGAATTAGAGATGAGACTGCAAATATGGGAAACAGTTCAACAAGCTTTAAAGAAAAAGAAAGACATACAGAGACAACTGGAAGGGGAAGTGTGGTAAAGACAAGTGTTTTGTGTTTTGTTTTTGGACAGAAGAAAGAATATGTTTGCATACTGATGGGAGTGAACAGACAATTAGTATGTTAGTTTAGCTAGGATCATGGATACGTCCCATAGTGACAGGAGAGAAGATAAAATAAATAGATGCATATGAAGGTGACTAATTGCAGTCATGAAAACTGATTGAGGTTGATTGAACTAATTAATTGATTCTCAGCAAGTTTGATTTGGATCACACAATCACACAAACACATTTTCAGATGAAAATTAAATTTTTGGAAGTTATGTTGTAATCAAAGTCTCACAAAGAAAGGGTATCTGCATTCTTTCCAACTTAAACTTTTCAGAATTTTTATTAAGTACAATGGCCTTTGATTTCGTTTCTTATTCAGAGTATCTCACCAACATTTAAAGTAGATGAAAATTTTTGTTGAAGAGGAAAATTTATGGTTAACTGTGTGTATGACAATAGGGTCTTTTTGTGTGTTCAGTCTATTTTAAGCACAGCTTCAATCTATAATTGTACTATTTTAAATTTGGCAAATTTCTCTTTTCTTAGTTTATTCTATATTTTCCCTGTTTTTTATGTGTCATTATTTCTTCATCTCCTAGCTTACTACACATTTGATACATAAGTCTCTGTTTCCAATTTTTTTTTCATTTATCTTGTTTTTGCGAAGTTTTTGATGTCAGGAATTAAAAGCATTTATATTGGAAGTTTTATCTATCTTTTTTGTTTTTCATCAGTAAGAAATATTCAGGAAACTGATATTTGCTGAATTAAAAAATGAACACAGAATAGAAATTGATTAAAAGTGTAAAATTCAAGAAAGGAGGGTATAAGAAAGAGTAATAGAAGGGGTGAATTTGATCAAAGCACATTATCTTTATATATATATATATATATATATATATATATATATATATATATATATATATATTATGTATATGCCTGTATATCATAATGAAACCCCTTTGTCTATCAAATGTATGTTAAAAATAAAAATTTAAAAACTTAACAAAATGAATCTCAGATCTGAAATGCTTAATAGTATATTAATAATTAGATTCATAGATCTAAGTAAAAACATTGTGTATATTAAATAAATGTTCTCCTTATAATTTACTAGTTTCTATAATTAATTCTTTTACAGACACATTGGTGGAGATTAATACATTTACTCTGTCTTTAAGAAAGCAATTTCTTCAAGTGACCGAATGTGTAATTTGTTACTAAATTTATTATGTAAATGGATTTTCATCATTAATTATTAAAATTCCCATATTCCTTATGAGTTCTTCACATTACTGCCCCATCCCTGGATGATAAAAGAGGCTTAGTGAGATAAAGAGCATTTAATGAGGAGTGAATATAAGAAAAGAGGTGAATTTGATCAAAATACATTATATACATAATTGGAAATATCACAATGAAACCCCTTTGTGCAATTAATATACACTAAGAAAAGATTATTTAGTGACTATATTCGTTGGAGGAAATGATCTATTTAATTTTATGCAGAAGTAGGGTAGGGATACTGTAGTCTGAAAGAAATTGATAGGTAAGTTTTGTGAATAAAAATTTTCCTGCTTTTATTTTCTCCAAAGTTTTAAGTTTTTCCCATCATTAGGATTGATCAGAAATGATAATGATAAATAGTCCAACCTAATAAACTGCACCATGCTCATGTATACTGCACTATATATTTGCGTGAGAGTCCTCTAAAAGGGCTGGGGGGAGAGTTTAGTGGTAGAGTATTTGCCTAGCTTGTGCAAAGCCCCAGGTTTGATACCTAGCACTATAAACAAAATAAAACAAAATAGCTACAAAAATAAAGCAAAAACAACAAAAATAAATTAAAAATCCTGTAAAACACTCATCAGTAGTTCATTGGCTAAAAGCAGATCTGCAAGTATTCTGAAACTTGAACATCACAAGTTATACCAATCCCTGCATTTTATATTTCTCTGTAATAAGATTTACTTTCCCTATGTCTTGACTTACACGATTTACAGATAGGCCATAATGACATTAATGTCTTTATTTCTGAAACTATGATTACATCCATAGGCCCTAGAGTTCATAGTGTTATCATTTTGTTTCAGATTAAGATTGTAGTAGATAAAATAGTTGTCATAGTCTCTACTTATTGCTCAATTCCTGAATTGCAAAGATGGATGGGTTATTTTCACTCCAATCTCTTTGACATTAACTCTTCATAGCTTTTAAAAATTTCCTGGTAAAGTATGGATTTCTTGTCTCCAACTATTTTATTTTGTTTGTTTTGCTTTCATTAGGAACCTGTGTAGTTATTGAAGACATTCTGAAACAGCCTCCTCTACAGGAGACTGTTTCTCGGGTCCAAATCAAAGAAAGTGCTGAAAGTATAGAAAGATATAAGCACCACTATTATAGCAAGAGACTGAATTTTGTGGCATTTCACCAAACTGGCCTTGCATTTATACTAACAGGATTACATATACCTTAACAAGCAATTTATTTTAAATATTATTTCAGAACTATATTGATGCTATAACAACAGCAAGACTGTATGTGCAAATAACTTAAAATATATATAAATGCTTTAAGAATTTTAGCCATTAAAATATTTCTTCGTCTTAACATAATTTAAAAATCATGCAGATGCTTAGTTGAGAAATTGGGTTTATTTCATAGCAATTGGGTCTTCCTTCTGAAATATTTTGAAGTTGTGCCAGTTATCCCCTAGTTAGTCATGACATGAAGAATTATTTTAAAGTCATTAATATTTTAATAATTGAACACTATTTTAAAATTGTAATTATTTCTATTAATAGAAGTTGACAGTATTTCTTACAATTTCAGAATAATTGAGCCAGCCTTCTAAAAGTGCAAATAAGAAAATGCTTTTCTACAATGTTTTACCATTTTTAGCTTCATATTAAAGGTGAATAATCATTAAAAAACAAAAACAAAATAAGCTTTTTCTCCACTTTTCTGTGTAACTATTAGTCCAAAGATTTAGCACCTTAGTTTAATTAATCCCACTTCTTGGCCAACAGGAAAGTCCCTGTGTAATTGCTATCAGTCATGTGGGCTTCTACTTAGTAGATGGGCTTCCTGAAAGGAAGTGTGGTTATAGAATGGCTTTTTTGAAAATAAATGAATGGCTATGTCAAACAGTTGATGAATACTGATATGGTTGCTTTTTAAAAATAGAACAGAATCCAAAATTTCGAAGTATCAAAGGGCTTGTTGCTTCAAACAGTGTCTGTCTACTCACACGGGATAACAACATGTACTGCCAAAGAGATTACTAAGAAA